AAGTGATTTCACACACCTAGGGCCTAGGTTTCCGTGCATGAAAAAAAAAAAAAAACAAACAAAATGCATTTGTATATGTTATATGCATCGGAGTTATAGATATTAATAAGGAATTGATTAAAACAACATTTAACATGATCACTTCCGTTATTCTGTTTATTTTGAATGAATTTGTGGTGAGGTGGTGGTTTGTTTTTGAAGTTCTCCGCTGCGTTCATTGTTCTTGCCATCCCTGGAGCCTGGTGCACGTCTCCATATTGTTCTACTTTACTGCCTCACCATCTGGCTTCTCCTCACAGACAATCCCTAACGTGATACCTGGCCACCAGTCCTCTCATTTTCACATTCTCTCCATGTCTTTGTCCCCCTCTCCCGCGTTTTTCCTCCATTCACTGAAGTTTACGTTGTGTTGAGTTTCATGTTGGCTTGCAGCTCTGGATTCAGGGTACTAAACCCATTTTCACAGAAACAAAGATGGCACATGGTCAAACGCTGGGAAACACATCTTGGCATTGGGTGTCTCCACATTATAGAACACAAACAGATTTTTTTCTGTTAAAATGCCATATTTCCCAGATGTGCCTTAGATACTTTCCAATCTTCGACGTGAAAATGGAAGACAAGGTACAGCGATACCATATGAGATGGAAAATGTGCCTTCCAGCCATTGCCTGTGCTTCACTAAAGTGTGCCCATCCCTGTGACTTTCGGTGTGAAACATTCACACACATGCCACCACAGAACAAAGTCTCTTTTTATTTTCCAACCTTAAATTCTCTTTGGGATTTGATGCAGTCCGTGGCATTCATTTCTCTCCCGGAAAGGTCCATGCTGTGTGTTTAGGCTGTGGCAATCTTCCCCCTGCTTCTGGCATATGCTTTTATTGGTCTTTTAAGTCTCTGACTAGTGTTTTTCTCCTAACCTACTGTTTTTTGATGTTCGGTTATTCTTAATGGTTTTCAAAAGTCCCAGACGCAATTCTCCAAACTCGCGAGCAGGTGTATAAACATAATTATACCAGCCATCTCGACGGAGCTCTTCTGGTGGGAATTAAATAATTGAATAACATGACAAGCCACATCTTTTTTTAACTGTGTGCAAGAAAAACATTATAAGGACAGATGCTAAATTATAATTGCGGAGAGTTTTCTCTAGCAGGATTGAGTTGATCCCTGTTGATTTCAGCTGGAATCTCTTGTCACTAGGGTATAAAGAACGACGTTCAACTGCAGGAAACCGTCACACCACTTATAGCAGGATACTCTTTACGGCTCACACCTTCATAATTCAACTCCTGTGTCATCTGACATCATAAAAATAATGATACCCCTAGCATGAACATTATGGACATTATTCTTTCAGAATGTCATGATATTATATGAACTACCTCAGTCTTCTTAAATTAGAGGCTTATGATAAGACAAGATACTATGAGCTCATTTCCTGCTGTGGTATACGAAAGTGATACTGTGCTTCTTTTTCTTTCTTTGTTTCTTTCTTTTAAATTAATCCACTTAGCAAAGCCTTGAATCATGCCTTGCTTGAACATAAAATAAAAGTGTCTCAAGAAAAACACATACAATACAGAAACAATTATGAAAAAAAAAAATATTGATTTGATTTGAATTGATTTTGTTTTCTTATTTTCATGAGTCATATGCTTTTTGGGGGTGGAGTGCCATGAAGATGTTTATTTCCTACAAAAAAAACAAAAAAAAAGAAGAATAAGAAGGTAAATTCAATTATCCTAATCTAATATGGATAGTTTTGGCTCTGAATATAGATAAGATGAGCTGTGTTTCTTGCATAAACTGCATAGTAAAAAAAAAAAAAACATTTGATACATTTCTACTATTGTACATTATATATACTTTCAGCCCTGGTTTGAGTTTACACTATATATTTCCTGTATACTGTATATATTTCCTCTATACTGTACATATTTTATTGTATGTATTTTGTTTACTTCTCACTTCACCTTTCCCTTACGGGAATATCTAGAAGAAGTGACGGTCTCTTTACCGTGAATAATCCTTGTGCCTTTATTTTGCTGCCACTCCAGAATAAAACAGTATATAGGGAAGATTGCATTGCAATTTCACTGAAATCCATTACTGCCCTATTGGCGTGGGGACACGTTCCTGGGAAGAGGCAAAAAAGAACTGAGAAATGAAAAATGGGAATCCTCCATGGTGCCTTAAATTAGATTTCCTCTGGAAGGGGTGTGTGGGATGTGCCTCTGTCTGTGTTTCTGAGACTATCACTTTGGTATGGAGTCAGTGATGGTGTTGAAAACACTATCGTCTGTGCACTATTGCTGTGAACAGCAAGCTAACGCGATGGAGAAGTATTAGAGCGTCGGGGGGAGGAGTGTGTTGGCTAACAGCTCATTTCTCCTACTAAATTATTCAGACTTGAAAAGCTGGGCCTATTCACTTGCTTTTGCTTTGGTAATATTTTACATGCAAATCGTCGGGAGAGCATACATTATTTACTTTGTGTTGGCCCCCAAATAAATTTGAATGTTTTTTTCTTGCGGGGCTGTCATGTGTGATATTTTTCAACTTTAACTTGTTCACAAGTAGCTTAAACAAAAGCATGTGTAATGGTACATGACATGTTAGAGGCCAAATTCAGTCACATGTTTTCTGGAAAAGAATGAGCAAATGAGCTTCAAAGAGGAAGCAGAAGCACCATAAAATCAGCATAGAAGTATATTTGTTGAATATTCCAAGTCCTTTAAAGCCAAATGCTAGAGTTATGTAATGAACAAACTGAAATTAAAGTCATTCTTTAAAATTAATCATAAACTTGAGCACCAGATCAGTCCATTTCATGAATCAGACTGGTTATCAACTGATTAAATAAAAAGATCCAACTCAAAATATATCATAATATAGATACTATTCATATATGTACAGTACATATACAAATTTTAATTTGGAGATTTTATGTGTTATAAACTTGTATCTTCATACAAATATGTATGTTTATGTATGTGTGTATATATATATACATTTTAATTTGGGGATGTTATATATGTTATAAACTTGTATCTTCATCTACCCAGAGAATGTACATATGTGAAAGTGATATATCGCCGTATATATTGGTAGCACAAAAGTTGTCAGTTATTTTGAAAGAATCAGGCCAGTCTGTTCTTCCAAAATTCACCTTTTGTGTTCCTCTGAAGAAAGAAAGTCATAGTTGTGGTTTGGAGTGACATGCAAGTGAGTAAATGATGACAGAATTGATATTTTTGGATGAATGTTTCCTTTAAGGCTTAAATAGCAAATATACGTGTGCATGTAATAGTAAAGAACACTATGTTCCCACAAAGAGGCTGAGAGAATAGGAGAGAGAAATTGGTGGGCATGACATGGGCCACAGGCATATTTTACTCAGCTGAAATAGGCAACGCTCAGGAGAAAAGGAGAGGTGGAAGCAAAAATAGAGATGGCAGGAATAGCAAGACAGAGTTGGTGAGATAAAACAAAGGGTTGGAGGGGAGAGCGAGTTCAAGAAAAGGAAATCACAAAGTTATGTGAGTCCTCCAAAAACTCCCCATTAAGCTCTCATCACATTAGAAGCTCAGGAGCCAGGATTAGATTTGGTTTGGTTTTGGTTTTAGAGATGCCCCAAAAACCCACCCCCTATATTGCAATTTGAAAATTTCGAACAGCTTATTTATTTTATATAGTATAAAAATAAAGACATGTTTATATGTGTTTACAGGAGCATTATGGAAATTTGGTCTCTTTATCGCCATCTGTGGTTAAAAGATAAAATTGCAAGTTAATTACAGGGTGTTTTTTATCCATTATAATACTGACATTTTGTTTATACTTTTCCAATTACTATTATGATTTTTTTTAACTCAAAAAGTAGTACACCTCTAAATCCAACTTGATTTTATGATTTAATATGTTATAAACAACAATATATATATATATATATATATATATATCATCCTGCTAATGCTGCTAATAACAATATTTAAAATACAAGTAAAACACCTGTAAAAAATAAATATGAAAAATTTCTTCCAATCAATAC